GTGCCTACTACTAGCAGCGCATAACTTGATCGAGAAAGCGTCTGTGACCGCTTATAGTTTCCAACTTGCAAATCTAAGTGCATTGGAAGTGAGTTCCAGGTACCAGGTGAGTCTTTGATTTCACACGACTAAAACAACCCAAAGGTTTCATGATCTACCTCCATGAATGGAAAGTAGGTCTGCTCTAGAGCATTCGTAGTTTTAATATCACGAGATAGCAAGCGTCAGTTAAGTTAGTACAATCATGTTCGGTATCGTCCAAAGCATTTACTTAACATTAATTTCAGATAAAGGATGCATGGTAAGGCGTAACCAAAAAAGTATCGCAGACAACAACACCTAAGCTACTACTTTATTGCCGTAGTTATGATAGGCAGTACTGATAAATCAAGCAGAGGGAGCGCAACAATACTGAGTAGTTTTGTGAACAGTGTGATTGCTACAAATGCGTATAACACAACCCTCCTTTCACGATGCCATGAAGTGCTTTGCATAGGAAAGGACAGAAAGTGCACAAACTAAACCGATGTGTATCAAGAAAAGTCCCCTTGACAAAAGTGACAACCGACAGAGGTTAAGATTACCCTAGAAACTACCCCTCATGGCATGAATAAATAAGTCCGCCACAAAAATATTAAACCACATTGACGATATGTATACACCGGTTTCTTCACCTAATAAAGACCACCCAAAATGCTTCACTTTCTTGTCCCACTATTAACAGTGCCACCTCCATTTACGCACGAATGATACTTGGCGCCAAGGCAAGAAGAACAAAGATAGTTTCAAAGCATAAAACAAAAACAGACGCAATTTGAAATCAGAATAAAGATAATTATTTGAGTGCATGCAAGGGAAAGCCCTGAAGAAAAATTTCCCTTTTGTAAAGAAATCTAAAGAAATTTCACATCTCATTTAACCATTAAACCATTCTTAGCAGCATAAAATTGACTGAAATAGAGAAGGAAGCTCACTTGTTTCCCCGTTCCCTGACCGAGTTGTTCTCCATTCGTTTGCTTCGTATTTTCAACACATTGTCGAAATTGTGCAACGAACTAAATGTTCATATACAAAGGCATAAATGACGCCAACATAAGTCGCATTCAACATTGGTAACCTAAATAATCCATTGTAAGTTTGATACCAATTAACACCCAGCTCATTATTTCCCAAGCATTGAGCTGAAACTAAGAAAACGGAATGATGATGCGGCAAAATTACATTGTTGGTCCAAAAAAATTCAGCTGAGCTGGGGTTATTCACGCAATGAAGTCAGCAGAACTTCCCGTCGTTATGAGCATAATAAAGTGACTTGGCAAAACAGGTGCTCCGAGAAGTTGGATGCAACGTTTTAAACATATTCTTGGAGAGTTACCGGTTAATGCATTCGGAAAGTCTAATAAGTGCGAATCTAAAAGGACGTCCTTAGGATTTTATAGGTAAGACTTCCAAGCACCTGCATGAGGGAGGTGCAGTCAGTGACAGACAATAACAGCAGGCAGTCACCCCAGTACGATGACTAGATTTCACGCAAAACATACCTTAATGACTACCCACACTCACATCCGCCCAAAGCAGTCGATAAAAACAGCAACAAGGATCCCTCCCATTCCTCAAGTTACAACTGTCAGAGGTATTTACGCGAGCAAGCAAACGCAACTTAAGAACACAGACGCATGAAGGTCTTGTAAAAACTCACTTTGTTAAGATCAGCTTCAGAATCAAATCCAAGGCCAAAGACTCCCGACGATTTTGGATCGGCCCATTGACCAAATTTCTGCGAAGTTTGCTTGAATACCATCTTTGGTGTGATAGTGCTATTTATGACCACCTAGAGAGCAGACAGTATAGAAACTGGGATTATAATACAAACAGTAAACAATACTTTTTTTTAGTCTGAAGCCACGCCATGAGCAAATAAAGTCAACAATGAACCCAAA